CATTTGATTCGACATTTAATGTCTTGTTCCCATTGTTACGATTTTAGTGCAAAACGTCGCCAACTAACGGACAAATTCGTAACAAAGGTATTCAGAAGAGGAAAATTGTCTCGAATGTTGTGATTTCAGGCGTATATATTCAATATTCATTTGGACGATATGTCTGATACATAACAATAGAATAGTATTTCCCGCAATAGTTAAAGGTCAAATAGCTATCATTACAACCATTCTACCATTATTGAAAAAGTAGCTGATTCAAATCTTTGATTAAAATATTGAAATTTGACACAATTGAGGCTAAAAGACTTGTTGAACATAGACTGATCGATTTTAGATAATCAATGATTTATCATATATATTGAGAGAGGATTGTACTGTACGTATCTTTATATAACACAGCAAATAAACAAAGTTTTAATTCGTATTTGACAACGTGACATTATTTACTGTTTTTGACCAATATTAACAAGACGATGACACAGATAACGCTTACCTTTCCAAAACATCTGGTCATATTCTTCCTGTACAACGTCAGGGGTTTCCGTGGTATGAATCTCTCTTTTGTTCATGTTCTTTAGTTTCATAAAATTTGAATTTAAACTAATATTCTATCGACATTTAGGTATTTTTTCAAGTAAGTAATGACATTTCCTGAAATGAGAATAAAATCAACGAAAACGACACCTTCACATCGAACTTTCATTTTACAAGTGAAATTACAATGACTATTATATTCTGCATCCATTTCCAAAGTTGAAATAGATCCTAATTCATGATCATATTAATTACTGTTATTGTTATAGTGACATATTTAAATGAATTTACATATACCTATAGATATAGTCATATGGGACACTTTGCTGGTATCATACAGAAGATGTAAAATAATTTCTCATTTTGTAATTTTGAATGTTATAAAATTTTGGTTTCATATTTTGTTATTTTATGATCGGCTCAAGTTTTATTCAGCAAGGGACATATAAAACAAATCTGTGTTCATCTTTATTCAGCTAAAATATTGGTGTGAGAGAGCTGATTAAGCAAAGTATCTGATTTTACTAAATAAGATTACTACTAAGAGTAGGATATCGGTGGAAAAGTTTCAAAAAGTTGTTAATTTACTAGATATAATGTCATGATATGAATGAATGGCGTCAGTTACAGCGTTTCTCTTTCATATAAAATAATTTTAGAATTTACACTTTCTATAGTTTAAACGATATTTGATTAAATACAAGAACAAAATAAACAGACATAGTTTGCATTTTTTGATAGGAAAACATCTTAATTCCTTTCCCATACAACAACAGCAAACTACAGGTCTTATAACACTATGCGTACATCATATTGTGAATAACAATTAAATTTCGACATATACATGTATGGTGAATACGATTGATTGCATAATACATTATATACACAAAGTATATGACGCCGTAATTGATACTTGTGATCATGTACAAATTACAGTATGCAATGATGTCGGGTAGTGTGTATCCAAATTTGACTCTTGTTACAGTAGATTCCATACAAGTAAATACTACAGTAAGTATTAGTCTATAGTAATCAATCAGCACGCTTACTAAATTTGATATATTTTGAAAAGTTAAGAAAATACTTCATTTTTAGTCTAGAGTTCCCCATATACGATTTGCTTCAGTAACACTGATATCAAGTTGCAGTATGGTTTTTTGTCTGATAATTGTCTGATAATTGTCTGATTATTACTACATGATAATAAGGAATGGACACTACTTTCAACGAAACCCCAAATACATAGTGGACTTTCCTATAGAGTTTTTATTTAAAGTTGTTGTTATGAATTATTACATTTAAGTCGCAATCATGCATGTAATATTTGAAGAGGTCTGTTGCCAATGTAAAAGTGATTAGGAATATTACTTTTTAGTAAAAAAAATTGAATTTACTAACAGACGGAATTTAACGAATGCCATCAGGTAAAACATCCCATAACTGTATTAAGGAATTTAAAAAAGAATCTTTACATACAAAAATGTATTTTTTTAGACTTCTTAATGCAGTTAGGCTTTGTGATACTTTAAATATATACTTTCAATATATGATAAACATGGATATTCCTTGGACAATCTTTATGAACTAAAATCGGATACAGTGATACTGTTTATTGTCATAGAATTTTATTTGCTGTGTCGCTTTTTTTTCTATCGATAATGATTCTGCTTGACTGGGTTAAATTTAACTAGCCAGTTACTTGCCCAATTGTGTATTTTCAAAGGGTCATTATTAGTATTTACATCGACAGTTGAGTTTGTTTTGTTAAGTTTAAGACAGTGTCATTAGCAAATAATCTTATTTTACAATTAATATCGCCCACTATATCATTAATGTATACTGGTGTGGCATGGACCTGTCATTCAAAGCGTACCAAACCAGCCATCTAAAACGATCCGGGAGCTCGTAAAAGGCCCCTGCTGTTCATATTACGTTACAACTACCGACTCGTATGTCTACACAGGTAAGTGGGTGTTATTTCTATGTGATAATTTCTATAATATTTTATTTAGTATTAGATTAACTAAAACCAGTTTCAAATTATGTATCCATAATTATTGTAACATGGCCGGACACGACTAGCAAAACTGATATAAAGAATGGCACAAACGTCTATTTGCAAGATTCAAGACAGCACTCACAACTCACATAAACAATCACACTCATTCAGTACTCTTTTTTTTTACTTTTATGCAGCACATGCCTCCGAAAATGACTAAATCCGCTAAATCTCTCGAAAGTCAATCCAACAATATCTGACACAGAGACACATAGGATCAAATGCTAGATATGTCCATTGATGTACCTGCAATAGCAAAATTGGACGAAATATGCTGTCGCGCATCTGTGTGCACGTTGTACGATTCTATCGTCGTTGATATAAATCTAGAAATTACTTACAGATAAGTGTGGTATCCGGTTTATTTATCATATAATGTAAAAAATATATAATTTCTAATTAAGCCATATAATTTTGAAACATAGATCTATCAGATACAGACTGAATAATATATCCACTCGAAACTGGAATTGTTTTGTTAACAAGTCTTAGCGTACAGGCACTCATTACATATAATTGACTTATGATAATCTCTATTTGTCTAGGCAATCAAATTTTTTATTTTCATTACTTCAGTATGACTATCATTTTGTAAAAAAAAATATATACATTTGAAGTGTTGTGTTTGTTACACGGGAGACTTCATCGGATTCTGACATGTCACTTATATATACCAGATTCAGGTAGTTTTTGTTGGCCGAAACACACCACTCGCCATTAATTAATGTAGGGTCCAGTGTTATTTCGAACACTATACAATTAGAAATGACTTTAATAACCACCAATTAATTAAGTCATAACTACACGAGTTTGATTTGTAATTTCCAATCCGTAATATTAGCCAACCATTTTTACCAAACCGCACAAAATGTGCAATCCTATCGCACAGTTGTGCGCTTGATACATTATAGTGCGAGTGTGTACACGATGAATGCACGATATGCGCACGAAATTTATGATGCGTTGTGCGCGTACCGTAACTGAACATGGCTGTTTTCTGTGTTATGCACCGTACGCGTAGGTACGCACTTCGTATCCGTGTACATGAATCTATAGATATCTAGATTTATATTTCAGCTCAATATACACAATTTATCATTCGCCTGGTTTGTGTCAAATATTTTGAAATTCTTCGAGTAAACTTTAAATATCCGCTCTCGTTTATTTTTATATGTACATCCATATTATATAAAGTGTGGATGTATAGCATGCCTATTATGTATATATGTACCAAATACTTCGTATATCTGTTTCACATTCTTTTGTAATCTTCGTCACTGGAGGCAATAAAGGGAATAATTGAAGATCATATAACACATATCCCAAGCAGTATTTTGCGCTGTTGAACGACAAACAAACTTCAGATAGATATACCGCTGTACTCGCTTTCATGTATATCATTCTTCCGGCTTCAGGAATAAAATGCAAAATATCAAATAAATTCAATAAAAAACAATAGATGTACAAAGTCGTAATGAAATAACATATTGGTAATACGCTGGCGACATGTACAAGATATTGTGGGGTCTGTGACAATTATTATGTAGCGACTTCAGACTGCAACACGAAAGGTAACGTGTTCTAGTGTTTCGGTTTACATGTTGGTAGGTGTCTAATTTATAGGCTAAATTCTAGTCATGTTTATAAAAACAGATAAATAAAAACGACGACAACCGATCTCTTTTAAGATGGTTCATCGAAAGGTTGATAGTCCAAACATCATAAAGTTTTTGGTTTCCGTTCATTTCCTTAATTTCGTAAAGAAGGAAAAATAATAAAAATGAAAATATATATATATATTGACCACAATTAAGCCACCATAACCAAAACATTTCAATGCCATTAAATAAATGTCATTAGGAAGGAGATTAATATTCCTGCCGTAATTAACCATTGCTTTGATGAAGGTCAATGCAGAGTGCTAATATCGTTTCAAACAAATCAGAGCGCATAGGTGTTTGAGGTTCTATTAATACGAAAAAAGTAAGCATACAAAACATTATACTGAGGGAATAACTATTTATTGCATAAACCAAAGCATTACCGTACTTAGCTCCAATTTCTAATTTGCGGTTTGCTGCATAAGGTGTTTCAGAGATACAATGTTCGATTCTTCCCCAATTAAAACAATTTTACATATTTCGCGTCACGTATTCTTTAGAATGTTAGATTTGAGGGAATGTTTAAGTATTATGCTGTTATCACTCTTCGTGGGGATTTATTTTCGTTGACTTTATCCCTGAATTGTTGAAATTAAAATCAGTAAATTTATTGAGCTATATTGGTAAACATAATAAATGTCCACGAAATTGGCCGTTTTTGAAAAACCATGGAAATTGGGCCACGCAAAAATATATCATTTTACTGTATGTGTGACAATTTAGCATATCCTCATTAAATGACGATGATTACGAGGGGAGAAGAAGGTGCTCAGCTGTCCGCATTTATAGAGTCAAACAAAGAAGATGGAGATAGAACAGTATGGTCCAAAAAAATTGAAGGCATGCTTTCCTTTCTGGGACTGTGTGTGGGACTCGGAAATCTGTGGAGGTTTCCTTACCTATGTATGCGAAATGGAGGTGGTAAGTCTTTGATTTTTCATGTCCAAACGATCAGATAAAATTATCGATAGATACTTTCTGCTTAAATCAAACATCATGCTAAGTTGTATAGCCGTTTTAAAGGAGACGATTGGATCGGGAAAGACTTTTCTTATTTATACTTATCCACGTGTTTCCCCCTTGCTAGTTGACATCATACAGCAAAATAATTTTGCCTCAGCCAACCATACATTAAAGGACAATCTTCAACACTGTAAGCTTTCAATAAATCCTTGACAGTATCATATTTTAAAAGAATTTTGGAAGGAAACGCATGTTTATTTTTTTTTTGGGAGGAAACATATTGTCATGGATCTGGCAAAAGTGCATTTCTGATTTGTACATCATGTATAAAGCGAGTTGATGCGCAATGTCACTTTCAGAAATATCCAAGATACGTAGCCAGAAAATGTTTAATGTCTCAACGGTTTAAACACATCGGAATATTTAACTGTATTTCCATTGTCCAATCGTGTTGATGTTTCGTTAATACATTTGAAAGTTTTGCCTCATACTCGCATTCTGTTTTAATACCGTTCATCATCACCAATGTTCATTAATTTTAAACAAGATTTATATTTTCAAATATTTGTTTCTTGTCATGCTTGTCTTTACAGGGGCGTTCCTTATTCCATTCTTGCTGTGCTTGCTTTTCTGTGGTTTCCCGTTGTTTTTCTTGGAAGTGAGTTTAGCTCAGTTCACAGGCAAAGACGCACTGCACACCTGGGAAGTTTGCCCAATTTTTCGAGGTAACTCTTAATACATTTAAAGTCAATTTGCTCCAAATCATAGAGAAAATACCGTCATGTCAACAAAAGTGAGCAAAATATCAATGACACGTTAACATTAAAATTCGTGAAAAATTCATTGATAATGGGTTCAGGAGGGAAACGCGTCTTCTGTTTCATCGGCAATACCCGACATGTATATTACATGTACATAAGTAACATTACGTCCTCTATAGAGCACAATGCTAAGGAGTTCTAACTTCAGGTAAAAAAACCAAAATCATGCTAAAGGTTCCTCGAAATACAATTTATGTCAAAGTATCGAAAAGTACACCCGGCACTTTAAACGCTATCCTTTCTTTGGTTAGGTATTGGACACGGAATGGTCATTGCCACTTTTGTGATGACATTTTACTACAACGCTAATACAGCATGGATCATGTTTTACCTCGGGAACTCCTTCATTACCCCTCTTCCTTGGAGAAGCTGTGACAATGACTGGAACACAGATTTCTGTGTTAGTTCTAGGTCATTCAACGCATCAGAATCTGCGACCAACTTCACACGTGGCAATTTGTATGACGAAACCAGATTGACGACAGCAAATATCAGTTACCTGCAAAATTCAAATGTGACATTCCCCGATGGGCAAATCAAACATAAATATATTACAGCTGAAGAGGAATTCTGGCAGTAAGTTAGTGTGACAATTGAACAGTTTTGCTCTTGTAATACAAAAGTGTGTCCAAAACAGCTAACTAAGGAATTTTTCGGTTGATATTAAAGGTAGATCAAGATGAAAAGAAATTGATAATGACAAGATTTCAAGATGAGTACTGTAGATCAATAACGTAATCTGAACAATCGATGAAGTACGATTACCGAACAGGAGAAATTTGAAATCGGGGAAATATTGCAATTACCGTTCTGGTTGGTCATTCTGATACGCTATGCTTTTAAACATCTTTACATTGTATTTTTCTACATATCAATAATACTAATTGAGAATGTGTTTGTATAATAACATGTATTTTTATGTTAATAATTTGAGAGGCTATACAACAACTGATCTGAGTAAATTAGAAGACCGGGCTTCTCAGGGACGTTGTGCAAGGTTTACTTGCCGAAATATACGTTAATTCCAAGTAAAGCTGTCTCGAGTTACCTCCCTTTATTAAGATTCCGGTCTTTGAGACCAATCCACATGGGTCATGGAATCAGCGTTGTAGATGAAATATCATGATGATTGTGAACTGTTTTCCGTTCTTTATATTTAAAAAAAAATGCGAGGATGGACACGTCGTCATTTAAAATATATAACTATTTTTTGCCGGTGAGCTTGTAATAATAATAATAATATAGAAACGTAATCAATCAAACTATAACATTGTGCATAAAACTGTTTATTTGTTTGTGTTTGGTTACAGGTATAGAACCCTCGAGATATCTAAGGGGATAGACGTCCTTGGTCACATACCATGGCACTTAGCTGTCTGTTTCCTCGCCGCGTGGACGTTGGTGACTCTGTGTCTGATAAAGGGAGTGAAATCCATGGGAAAGGTAAATCAAGGTCCATTTGGCATGTTACAGATGATCCTATGTGTTATGAATGGTGCATTAGTTTGGTATGAAATTGTGGAGTATTTGATTTAACAATTCCTTTTTATTTCAGTTATTAAAAAAATCAAAAGCGTCAAAGTTAACCACATAATAATGATATTTCATTTTCTATCATTTTACCCTCACTTTCGTTTGTTATGGTAAGTATCTTACATACACCTCAATATTACAGACAAACAAATATGTATCCAGTGGCACAAACCTTCACATTCAATTCCTTAACTGGCATTATAGCAAACGCGTACATTAAGCGAATCACCAGTAGTAATATCGTGAATGTCATGCGCCACAAAAATATATTTAGATTAAGATTAAAAGGAATTATGATCATAAAAATGTAAAATTGACGAATTTCTTAGCTCTGTGAATGAACTCAAAAGGTCACTACAGAGAGTAAAGTAATCAATCACGTGATAAATAGTCTTCACATATTTTCCATTATTTCCTTACAGCTAAGGTGTACGACAGGGGTGAGGACTTTGTGTGATTCTTATTTTGTTGTGTATACTTAGTACAATTCAATTGACCTAGATAAGCTATGATGACATTATAATTCCTGTTATAAATTATACGTAATAATATTATTATTCGAAAAGAACTATTAAAGTAAATCAATTAGCTATACAGAGATAGGTATTGATAATAGAACAATGAATAATGATATAATTTACAGTCTGACTTACTCATTATTTACAGGTAGTATATCTGACTGCAACGTTGCCATATGTACTATTGACGGTTATCCTGATACGAGCCAGTTTTCTTCCTGGAGCTACAGATGGGATGTTATTCCTTTTAAGTCCCGATTTTGAGAAATTAGGACAACCTCAGGTAGTTTTTAGTTATGTATATTTGATTAACACTACGTAATAAAACTAAAGGCGAAAGAGTGTTAAAAATATACATTGACTGCGTTACTACCCTGTCATAAGTACAATCACACAAAGTACATATTTTTTTGTTATTATATATGTGTAATATGACATAGGTGACTTTTGATTGACTATCGTTCCCATTGCGACGTCATAACGTCATGGCGTCTTATGTTCGCTAACGTCACAAAAGCAACACATGTACAGTGAGAATGTCGAAAATTTTAGCATCTAAGTTAAGTAACAGACAGAAAGTCGATTCCATTTTCTCGATAGAGGCTCAGGTGAAAAGGAAAATATTCAGTCTCTATGAAAATAAATCATGTAAGATTCTCTACCTGTATATGTATGATGTCACATGCTGACGGACAAAGAATAGCGCTAATCACAGCTGCACAGGGTTATGTGTGTTTGTTTTATTTCAACTTTCATGTGCATTTAAATAGGAGGAATGAATAAAAAGTACAATGAACAATGTTAACATCCTTTTTTAGGTTTGGGTAGAAGCTGCTTTACAAGTGTTTTACTCCCTTTGTCCGGCCTGGGGACAACTGATGACAATGGCTAGTTACAACACGTTCCATAACAATTGTTACAGGTATATAATGTATCACACTTAAAATTTTGCGATAAGACTATCTCAGGAGATATATTACAGTTTACTCAAACTGTCATTTCATCTTTTGTTTTTCACTTGCTCAACTGATTTGAGGTAAAATTATTAATTAGCTTAAGAAAATTGGTAGTGACATCCGAAACGTTTGCGACTTTTTAAGGGACTCCATTATACTTACCATCCTTGGGGAAGGTACCAGTATATACGGCGGGTTTGTGGTGTTTGCTGTGATTGGATACATGGCCCACGACGCCAATTTACCTATAGCTACTGTAGTGAAATCAGGTAGGGAACATTATATTCATCGTGAAATATTTTCTTCTCTTTTGTGCGTAGAATTTCGTTAAGTACGTCAAATTGTTAGTAACAGTGTTCGGTTTTAGATGATGTTGTGAACAACTCAAAATCCAGCCCAGTTAATGCTTAATCATTCTTGAATGGAATTATCTATATTTCTTCGTGTATATCTTCAACAGCTGCTACAATATAATTTATTTTTCAGAGACTCAGTTTTCGTGGGTTTTTTTTTAAATTATATTTCAGGGACACTTGAGTTCGCGTAAATATATAGCACAATAGATCTTCTTATGCTTATTTTAAGAATTCGTCGATTTAGAATATTAGTTGAAAATTACCGAATTTATAGTACTTCGATATGCTTTAACATATACAAAGAAACGTTATTTTATCTGACTTTAACTGGCTACTACGAAATCAAAGAAAACAATTCCCATGAAAGTTTATTGTATATTACTGAGTCATTTTTATCATCTACCAATAAAGACAATATTTATTGTATCCGAATTTATCTGACAGCGCTAAGTCTCCACCATGATGCTGTTCTTTCAGTGGTGGCTCTTCACAATATTTGAAATATAACGAACACACAGTTGTCATTATGTTTTTTGTTTAGGTCCTGGTTTAGGGTTTGCGGTATATCCAGAGGCTCTAGCTAAACTACCTCTTCCAAACCTATGGGCCGTGTTGTTCTTCCTAATGTTGCTTTGTGTGGCTTTGGATAGTCAGGTACGTCAGATATCAGTTTTTTTATTATCTATATCTATTTATCAACATTGATATTAATTTTATAGGTTTTTCCTCAGTTGTTTTGCGAATTGTTGGTTTTCCAAGTTCGGGTTAGTATAATAGTTAAGTTAACCTATTACTAGCATTCTTTCCAGCTAAGAAAGAACAAAAACGTACAGAGACGATAATAATTATATTTTTTCTGGTCTCGAAAGAAAGATTTCATGCAACAAATATAATTTCTGAACAAAAATATTTTCGTAAGACAGCTTTTGATGATGTATTCGTCAATTGTCCTATTTCGGACGTATGACCTTTATTGTTGTAGTTTGCTTGCGTGGAAATGGTGATAGCGGCAGCCATGAATCATTTTCAATCACTGCGGAAGAAGCAACTTGTAATGACCATTTGTGTATCCATGGCCTTGTTCTTACTTGGACTATTCTTCTGTACACAGGTTCGACATCTCTTATTTTTCTTAACGCTGTTTGAAAGAAAATATCACAGTCGTGGTCTGTGTAGGGATATACTTTTTGAAACTGAAATACAATGGAAACACAATATAATTATATCCACCAGATTGTATAAAGCATATATATCACGCATCAAAAGCGTCATCTTTGAATATTTGTCTGGGAACAATTCCATACATTTCACAGTCACATACTTTTACTTTATGCTACAGGCCGGGATATACGTCTACCAAATATTAGACTGGTATGTTGCTGTGTCCTTACCCATCCTTGGTTTTATCGAGTGTATCATATTTGGATGGATATACGGTAAATACACTTTCTTTATTTTATGTATTTTCTTGTTATGCTTTTGTTTGTTTATTTGGTTTTTTTTTCTCGTTTATTCCTCGTTTACTGGTAATCACATATCACATGCATAGACTTCCAAACTAAATCTAAAATGAGTTTATCTTTTCAGGGGCAGAACGGTTTTCAAAAGATGTGAACATGATGCTTGGTCGTCAAATTCCTGTGTTTGTTCGGATATGCTGGTGTTTTATAAACCCTATCGTACTTCTGGTATGCGTAAATTTTATATGACATTTAAAAACATTCCAACCAGGTTTTTTTAATCACGGAAAAGAAGTGAGAATCATACCAAATATGGTTACCCAGCCGTAAACATCTCTTCTCGTTATCATTGTACATAATATTCTTTTCAGAGCTTCAATGACTACTTCAAGTAACAACGTATGAACTATGTTTACAGAATTTTGTGATGTATCAATTAGTCAGTAATAAAAATAAGATACACAAGAATACATTTCAGTATTTAGTAAATTCACGTCCTACATTTTACAATGAACTAACAACAGGATAGGAATGGATGATCATAAGTATCCATTAATCATCATTATGGACTCTCGGGATTTTCACAATAACGGCATGATTTCTCGCAACTTTTATATAAGGATCAAATAATAATGTGGGCATTAGGCCATAGAGATAAAGCATGAATTGGATGTCAACTTTTCCTTTTTGTTTAGTTTATTATTTTTTCATTTTTTCTTTTCTTTTTTTTTTTTTTTTTTTTTTGATGACAGGTTGTCCTTTTTTGTTTATTTATTTATTTATTCTTTTTTTTAGCTTTTCCGTTCTTTACTATACAACAATAATGTTAGAAATAAAAAAAAGAATTTAAAGTGTAATCAAACCGACAAAATATTCCGTCATTAAGAAAAATTAAGAAGTAGGAGTACAAACAGAGGCAGATTTTTTTTTTTTTTTTTTTGTAAATTCCTGACAACTTTCGGCAACGGTGAACTCTAGAAAAAAATATAGGTAAATTTAAGTTAAGGTATTGACCCGGCCTAAACCGGAACGAAGGGATATAACTCCAACAAACCTGACTTCTAATTTTTACAACGAAATTACGTGGATAATTTTAAAGTATTTAGCTATTTCACGTGAAAACATTGAATGTTACATAATTTGAATTTATAAAAAATTACTTTCCAACATTTATGGAAACAACACTGACATCATATGAAGCTACGATAGTAAGGTAACACATCTGTGCCAGAAGACTTCAAGGAATCATTCCATTTACTTTTTCCGCATAGGGACGTAATTACTTGACTAAGCTGTAGAAAGAAATGTTAAGACAATGTATAGAAATAATAGCACTTAACTGATGTTACCTAATTTGAAAAAAAAATGTTAATGACTATCAATCAATTTTCATCAATTCTCACTCATTTAGACTGAAAGAATGATTGCATTTTGTGTTCTTACATATATTTTCAGGTACTCTTTGTGTTCACATTTGTATCATACGAGCCCCCAACATACGGAGACTATGTGTACCCATCTTACGCTAATATCATTGGATGGTTGATAGGAATGCTTCCCATAGTACCCGTGGTTTTGGTTGGAATCATGACCGTCTTGAAAACCCCTGGACAGTCAATGTTCGAGGTACGGTTTCTATGTATACTGTCAACAGGCAAAAAAAGTCTTTATCGACATACCTACTTTAATAGAATCGTCCTGGTCAGACATTTGTTTTGAAAGTTTCACTTGGCTCCAACACAAGATGTCTGAAATTTGGATCCACATGTGTCTATTGTGGGGCAAGAGCGAGTTCTGCGACACTGCTGGTGTTTTCTTTTTTTGTTTTTTGTTTTTTTGGTTTTTTGTTTTTTTTTTTTTTTTTTTTTTTTTTGCTTTTTGTTTTTTTGTTTTTTGTTTTTTGTTTTTGTTTTTTTTTTGTTTTTGTTTTTGTTTTTTTTTTTGTTTTTTTGTTTTGTTTTGTTTTTTGACAAACCCGCAAAGGCCTACATGTGACACAGCTTTTCATTTCATTTGGGCCTTGACATTCATATATCATTTTCCTCCGGAGATCTGACGGCCTTTAAACATATTTCAATTTCTTTTAAATCTTCTTATACAATAAAACAAATATCTAATCGCTATTTAGGTATGAAGGTCAGCTCTGTTTCCTCTCAGAATTCAAATTCCATATCTTAAAGATTATAAATGGGAGCCTGAAGTTGGTTCCCAGCTTTTTATTTGTATTTATATCTTAACATCTTTATATACCTTTATTTTGTTCGATTTTCGATTTTCATTTATAAATGATATCACATAATGTCCATTCAGCGATCGTATTCATCATCATCATCATCATCATCATCATCATCATCATCATCATCATCATCAATCATCATCATCATCATCCATTTGGTACAGTCCTATTTTCGAGATGTATTGAATCTGTGTTGTTAACATGCATAGATACCTTTGTATCGTATTGCCGTAAATATTCTACTTTAACGAAGAGACCAGAGACGTAAAAGTATCATAAAAATACGTGTTCCTTTGTTGAATGTATACAATTATTCTCGTAATTAATGTACAAATCTGTTCTTCATTTCAGAAATTTAAAGCGTCTTTCAAACCCTCACCATACTGGAAACCTATATCTAAAAAGCATGCAATGGACTATCACAGTGACAACAGCACGGCGTCACTCGGACTCTTGGAACAAATGAAACTTAATATTTTGGGGAAATAGTGACTGCCATTCTCGAAATGGCTCAGCAGAAATTTGCCAACGATTTACTAATATCATTTCGAGCAGTTTTAATTGATTTTGTCCTCAAACGAAAACCGGATTAACAACAACAAACATACTAGAGATAGTAACTGTATATGATACATTGATCTTCGGAACAGCATATTTGATATATAGTATTTAGCAAACCGTTCCAATTGCATGTACCTCTACATTGAATTGTACGTTGAGTGAAAATAGAAATTAACATAGTCTCATTCTTTATGATTCAGATACTGATTGAGAATACTTGAGAATGATTGAGATACTGACGTGTAAAGTGTACGATTTTCACCTGTCCTACTACTAATCATCAAAAGGGTGAATTGCGCTAAATTGGACGCTATAGGGCTATGACGTCACAAGTTTAACGACTGGTAACAGCTGCCATGGAGAGAATAGTCGAGATCGAGTATAGCTACGTTATGCAATATCAGATTTCAAGTGAATATTTGTAGTTTTGAGGAATTTGATAATTCGGACGGTAACTTTATAAGGACAATTACAAACACATGAAATGTTCCAGAAGTTAGCGTTTAAAACATATTTATTGTCATTATCAGAACAAGAGACAAGTTATATACATTTATATATGGAAACAATTAATGTTGTTTAAATGTTCATATATTGTATATCTGCAATGATTATTACTATTGAAATAAAATATGTAACTAGACTAGGTCTACATTAAGATGAGGATTTCCGAACAAAATTGTATCCAATCTGGACGCAACATTTAAAGTAGTGAAAGTTTAGATCGAAACATTCCTTGGTATTAGATGATTATAAAAAAGTAATGAGAGACTGATGAGAAATTTGCTCTGTATCGTAGTACCACTTCGGTCCAAAAATGCTGAAATGTTCAGTATTTTCAAAATAACTTCAACATCGGTGTCTGCTTTTTTTTTTTATTAATGATAAGATGTAATGTTCTATATAACGACAAATTAACATCGTTGTGTTTTCCTTGTTTCCGCGAGTTTTATTTACGGTACTTATAAATGAGACGCTAAATTACATCACGAATTTATTTCTCAAAAATATAAATGAATCACGTGGTCGTAAACAGACGGACAAACTTGTAGCATAGGATTTCAAAAGATGCAGACGCGGGTGTCGTCGGTGAAGCAGAACACGATTACTCTTCCAGAATACCTGGTTTTATTATCGGAGTCGTCATGTAATTTTCTCTTTTGTTCACATTTTGTCGTAGTTTTCTGGAATTTGAGTTTGGATTATGATTATGTTGACATGTTGGTATTTTCTATATTTATTTTAAACCTTGCCCATACCTATTGCATCGTACTTTGCTTTGCACTCATTCACCCATTGAACTGATGTCTCAATATGCATTTTCAGAACGTGTCATTTTCGACTTAATTTCACGGTGATCTAACGCATTTATCTGCGAAGAAGCAGAGCCCGCTTTCTATTCAGGAACTCCAGGCTAATTTTTCTTCAGCATTTTTGTGTCAATCGTTTGGTGAATAGTTTGTTACGATTTCGTTGCCAATTTTTCGATTCACAAGTTTGTTTAATAGGTATATGCTGCTGTGTTCTCTACAAACATCTAGTCATTTGTTTAAAGATATTCAAGCGCTCCAGTTCTTTAAATATGTCCCAAATATAACACTTAAAGGATAAAGCAGAATAATTCCTCGCTAACTTCAGCCCGTTTGTCCATATAGTTGACAATGTAAGTTAAAAAAACTTACTTGCACTGCAAATGAACATACACCTACTCGCTTTCAATTATTCTTCCGAGTAACTGAAGAACCTGAACGCTTTAAAGATTAGTCTAATTTGACTGACATATCTGCCTATTGACGAAATTGTTTCAATGTAGCATTATTTCCATGAGATAGGGAATACACATGCAATCTTGTATCCGAACTTCCACCTCACGATACGATATTGTTTGTACATGCATCCGGTATAGGCAATAGGAAAGGGATTTACATTTAAATAGAAAATCATGGTCGTAGACAGGAAACTAAGCTGGGATAAATTATTATTTTCTCTAAACTGTTAATCTTATACCAATGCTGACTTGTGTCTGATAAGTATACGTAACGTCAATATCTATAAATAAATTGGCCGTAACAACGATAAGAAGCCTGAACGATATAAATATTTAGCTAGTGTTTTTATCATCAGGACACATCAACGCTTGATACAGGAAGTAAAAGAACGAATGTTAATTCACTTTCTGGGTATATTCTCAGTGATGTCGAAGCCATTATTTTCGCCAAATACGATTTTCTTTAGTAGTCCCCGACATCTAGATGTCCTTAGATTGGTTCTCTAACATCACTGATGAGTCGTAAATGAACGAAACATATGTATTTGGTGATATATTGTGTCTAATTCTAAAATTGTGTTGAATGTTGCTGCCGCTGTTTACTTGTATTTCTTATCTATATAATTCTTCAATCATACATCATTGGATTCACACATGTTAAGCTGACAAATACAACAAATCATCTCCTGATTAATTTGCGGCGCAGTTTCCATCATGTATTTGGTCATATACTATAATATATTTCCATGTACATCATGTAATATATAGACTTTACACTAGGAGTGCTTGCTGTGTATGGTATGTGTATGCAAACGTTACATAAAAAACATTAACTTCAATGACAAATACATGAGCTTTAGCGATATACAATATATAACAATCACCAGTTTGTATGTCCTGTTTCTTATCCAAGTTTTGAATTGCCTCTTAATAATATGCAAAACTGAAAATTTCAAAACTACATGGTGACATTAAGATTCAATACATATATAACTGGAACATAACAGAATTTGTTTACTTCAAAGCAAAACCATGGAGACGGAAAGAAATCCATGTAAAAATCAAAATATTGTAAAAACATGAGTAAACCATTTATTATTAGTAATAATTTCCTTGAGCATGGGAAGCGTCCTTTCGGTCAAACTTCACCCTGTCGGATAATTGTGTTAGAAAATATGATTAAATCGGCTTACGGGGGAAAATAAACCAAAGTGATAAATCGCAAAATGTGATAAACAGCTTGATGTGAGTTTTTTTTAAGGATCAACGTCACCCTTTCGAAAATTTGCTAAAAGACTATGGACTAACTCGTTGATGAAACCTAACGTTATGTATTAGAGTTGTGTTATTGTTGATGATTTAGTAAGGAATACGCGAGCAATGTTGGATCCGAAAAGCAACCTAACGATGCGATGTTGTATTTACATGTATCAGGGATCACCAAGAGGACAAGAATTAACATTTAAATAGGAAATCTTAGACGACGACCGGAAACCAAACCGGAACAAACTTACATATTCTCCAAACTGCCGCTAGTATTTCTGTTACATGTTTGTGGTAACATTGGTCAGTGATATAAATTCCATGCAAATTTCATTATATAAATTTGTCATTATATATCCCACAGGCTCCAAAGAAAAATAATCAAGGGATACCGACTGACATGTTCACAAAATCGTTATTCAAACTAAAAGTCGATAAAACGAAAGCAAAATATGAAAGATGAAAAGATTAACACGCATATTCATGAAAATGTATTGAGCCTGCAGTTGGTTCCCAGTTCCTAGCTCCTAGTTACAGGAGTCCTGATTCACTAACGAACATCGAAATAATCACATTTCAAGCAATACAATATTTCACAATACGATAATGTTAAAGAATCTAGATGCCTATTATCCTAATATACAATGTATGTATTAACTTAATCGACATCGTTTCACATCAGTTTCCCAGGCTGTAATGGCTTTCATGATTTATTAATTTTTATTGGTTTTGTTCTTTATTTCGCCCATCATATCACACCCACATATGTTGTGTATTGGCAAATATAACATTACATTTTTACAGAAATAAAATGTACCATTTGGTTTGTATTTAGGGTTTTTAATACAGATTACGCCAATTACATGTAAAAGGATTGATTTCTCGTTTACTAGCATTCACAGTGAAAACAATGTCAGATGAATTGTAACAGAAACAATAATCATATGAGTTGTTCTCGGTGATTACACAGTCTGAAAAATCGAAATGTTTAATACTGGGGAAGTTAATGGTACACATGGGGATGACAGCTCCGCAGAAAAGCTGTCGTTGACTTAAATCAGAGACAAGACTAGGGGAAAATATGGTCGAGAAACATATTCCTATGGTTGTATTGATTTCTGAGTAAGTCACATAAAGGATTAAACTAGCATAGAAAATTCACAGTTAATTTTCTGTCTCCTTGTGTGTTCTTATCAATACCGTCTACAGCTCTGTGTCGCCGAATTATTATCAAGCGATGACATTTTCAAGTGTAGCGTTTCAGTTGAAGTGTTATGGTGAATTAAATATCAAGAGTGCTTACATTTTGCCGCCATGGTAGAATATTTGTTTTAGGAATGGAGGCAATAACTGTAATCGTATAAGGAAAGTAATTTCGTGGTAAATGCTCCAAACAACATCAGAAAAAAAATTAATTTTGGGAAGCAAAACAATCAACGCAGTGAAATTTTCCAGAGAATCGTGTGTTTTGAACATTGAAGCCCAATGTATCTGTTTAACGTTTACGTCTGTCGGATCTGGTTTATATGTTAAGGAACTGCCGAACTCTGTAACTTCCTGTGTGAGTAAGTATATGCACACGTATTACGCACCATAACGTTAATCTGATTGTGTTTAATGTACCAATTACAAGTTCACGTGAGTTATTAGTTTAATGATGAAATCCTTAGAGTGAATTCAATGAATTACCATTATATGCTCTTTACCATATCCCAGACGAACGGAATGACCGTCATATCTGACACATGTTAGCCAATGATGGCTCATCTGTTTATTTATCAAAAATCTGCGCACAAGAAAGAGCGAAATTCTTTATTCAAGTGTTTGTGTGTTTATAAATTGAACCATGGAAAAATGAAAGGTCTACTTTGAAATGACAGGTTGTAATACAGGCCCTCAATTGATGATCTTAAGAAAGAACTTGAACGATGAGTTTCTATTTTGTTGTTAAACCTATTAGGAACATATGCTTACACTTGAGCAAAGCACGTGCACAGAATTAAATTCTGAAATACTTTAAGCAGTTTAGGCTAGGTCTGTGCAGTGTTTACCTAAATAAAGTTATCGGGTAATGAAAACCGGTTAAGAAACCGAATTTTCCAGAATGTTGAAAATAAAACGCACGTGACCGTATGTAATTATATCGAAATCGTCGAAATAGTTAGTCAGCTTCTATCTTAGGGTTAGTCTGTTGGGACCGATCCCTGTGGATCACGATGCTTTTAAGGGAAGGATTTTTATGTGTTTGTTATCATACGAAACTAAAGCTATGTTTACAGGTTTATAGTAGTGACTATTAGCTTATTCCTAAGCTTCACGACCAGGTCAGATATATTTGTGTTGACCACCGAAAATATGAAGACACTGTATATATAAAATGGTGAGTAGTCTATCTAATTTTATTTTAAGACAGATGATAGTCTCGCAGACGTCATTATTTATGAGATAAACAATCAACAATTTATGTTTTTTTCCCCAGAAACTTTCCTCTTTCAATGAGACTAATATATTGATCAAACATTAAATTTATGCATTAACCGATAGTAAAACAAAGATAAGTAAAATTCAAGTTGACCTCATAAAAGGATAGCAAGTGTTTAATGATGACGCTTATTATGCAAGCATGGTTATTAATAATTTACGAAATGGAGGGAAGCGTTGCTTAAAACGGGTTTATGCTATTTAAATCCAAAGTATTAATTCTTCATTTCAATTGTTGTCTAAACAAATTTATATAACATATGGTCTAACACTTTAGCATGTTATGATTGGCTGATAGGATGATTTTTTTTACCAAAAGGGCACTTCACGCACTCAAATGAATTAGAACGCGCAATAAGTAATTCAGAAATACTTTTGTAATAATTCTACTTTCCTTTGGATTTATATCAGTTTCGTGATATGAAGAAAACATCCTTATTCATTTCTATCTATAAACTGTAATGGGTCATAATATCATAATATATGTAGTACTGAAAGTGTCAGTTATGCATATTTATCAGCGGTATTTGACTTAAGATCATATCATTACGCCTCAAAATGATGACATAAACAAAACACACATTGGCACAGTACAGGTCCATTCAACTTCGGAATAACTTTTTTTTTATGGTAGAAAGAGGTCCCACAAACTCGTGGTTGTTACATAATATCTCGTTAGTTATATTCCGTCTTTTGATGGAAACCCATCTGAAAACGATAAACCCGTATTTTACTTGAGGGATAATGGCCTCATCAAATGGTGTTGATGTATTCAGTGAATAGTTTACTTTGCAAAATACTTCGCAAATGAATGAATAAGTTAAAATGAAACAGAATTTGTCTTCCGATATCAAATTCATTAATATGACATCAGGGTATAGTAAAATATGACTATAAAACGAAAAACAAACTGTTTACGCGAAACAAAAACATATTGCATGATGGCTTTCAAGTTTAGACATACGAAGAACGTTTTTCTATACCTTGATCCACCAACAAAAAGTTATTCTTCATCACCAATATTTAAGGATTTACCAGATTGATGATGGCTGTCTCTCACAAAAAAAAAAAAAAAACAAACAAACAAACAAACAAATTGTTCGATTTCGCTGGGCAAATAATTCCCGGTTGTTTCAGGTTTATACTAGTTCACGGGTATTCCATTTTGCGTATATCTATCAATTGATTTAAATGTATACATGCAAATATTTTCTGATATTTTGATTGTTAAAATATTTATTATGCATTTAATTGCCTACTTTCTTTTTGACCGCGAAATCAGCGAAATTAGATCCCCGCGAATATTACCACTTATACAGTATTCTGTTGATGAAATTATAGTATAAGAATTACGTAATTTTCACATATTTCTATCATTTTGCTGGTATGAGATCATGTAAAATCCTATCGATTTCCGTATCACTTTGCCCGCTCATAATTAATATGTATTCTAGAATTTTGTTGCCTGCAGTGATATTACGGTAGGAATACAGCTTCTATATCAATATACGGTGATTGGATCAGTCTGCTCTCAGATCCAATTTAATATTGACATCTAAATATAGAATTACATCTCTGCTCATTCGAGATGCAGCAGAAATCATTTGTACATGTATACATGTAAGAAATAATGAATGAGATCACATGCCTTGTAAAACCGAACTTTTGTAATTTACTTCAGATGTGTTGAAGTTCACTGGACAATTTTACCTTAGGTATAACAGATTGAAGATACATAACAGAGTAAGTCTATACAATGACTCACCTACGTTGTATCACACCTTTCTGGAAACAAGTACAATTACATTAAAACGCAAATCATCATCCATTAAAAACTGAAAGTCTAGTGATATATTACTTACCTCGTACGGTCTTCTAGATAACAACTCAATACGGAAATAAAAACAATTAGTAGACTAACAAGTAATTAAGGATGAGCTCGAATATCATTTACTACAAACACTTGTTTACATTATGGATTCACAATATGTAAATGTACAGACTGTTATCATTATCTTCACATAAGACCTACCTTTATCCTGCAACTAACGCTGCCATTGTCGGAATACACCTGCCTCATATATTTTTTGCTTTATTCGAAAGTGACGAAAAACAGCTGTATTCTAGCACGTGCGGTAATTCGACAAAATTTCTGAATTTACTTAAATATTACGTTTAGAAATATAAGTAGTTGTTGAAATAAGTGATTTTATATGTTGTAATGAACAAGTTGATTTATGAAAATTCATAAAATCGCTCTTATATCCAATGAAGTTTGGAACTATGTCTCCGCGCGGAGCAATTATTTTGATGTCCATCATCAGGCAAAATTCAGCGTTACGTCAATGTCAGGTAAACACTGATTGAACATCAAAACTGTTTAAGTTTCAATAGTCTGATTTTCAGTCAATGTTGCAGGATAGATATAATACATGGTCAGTGTCTTAAAATATAAGCTGCATTTTGGCTCGGGACAGAAAGACAAAATTGGCAAGCCTCTGGCGATATTGTAGGACACTGACTATGTATTCTCTTATCCTCTATTTACCTAACAGTTTGATAATGGACATAACTAATGTCACATTGTTATCTATTGCCGTCCATCAACACATGAAAGATAAAAAAAAAACGATCGAAGTCTGCGCGCGTTTTAACCATATGCTGGTAAATACTTGTAACTTAACGAGTCTGTGGTAGAAAATACATAATTCTGTTGAATGGGTAAAGATGAATGCCTCGAAAACAAGAAACAGATGCAAAGTTTTAAAACATGGTATTTATGGCCGAAGTAACATTCTGTGCCGTAGAGTATTCATGTTTGAATGAAATAGTTTGTTTTCTATCTCTACAGGGTGCGTCTATTACTATGGATGAAAACACCACCCCACAAGTTCTGATAGAAGCCTTACGGGAACAGTGCCTTAGAAGAGGTTGTGGTGGAATCAAGGGCCTGGGGCTTGTATTTAAAAACATGGATATAGACTATTCAAAACGGATAGTCTATGAAGAACTTCGGATAGGCTTGCAAAAATACGGAATTTTAATGTCGGAAAACTTTCTCCGGTCACTGTTTCATACATTAGACCGAGATAACAGTGGAGGAATCGATTTTCAGGAATTTATGAAGGCGTTAAGACCCCCAATGAATAAGGGACGAATCGACGTGGTTAATGAAACGTTTGATTTACTAGACGTTGATCACGACGGGCTGCTCAAAACGGAAGATTTAAAAGGTACGTAAATACGCTTATGGTGGTCACCATTGCAGGAAAAACGGAGTAATGACATGGCCTCCCAATATCTGGGGCATATTCTATGCTAATAATGGGTCAAACCCCCTTAACAAAAGGTCAATGCAATCATTGTCTGCTAGTCAAATACATGTTTATCGACACTAAAAACTATAACAACCAAGACCGATTCAGAGAAAAAGGATCTGGAGTACAAAGACGTTACAACCGTTGAACGACGGAACTGCATTTACGAATCGGTGGCATTTGCACTTTCGAGGTAACTCCGTAACTATGACGAAGTGTAACGGAATAAGCCGAGGTTAGCCGTTTGAAGGCAAAAGATGCAATAGTTATCGTCCTTATCTCGAACTCTCACATACTGTTTACATTCTTGATAAAATTAATTTTGGAATTTGGGGAGAATAAGCAGTATGACAACAAATATGCAAATCTCTAATAGAGTTGTCGTTCCTTAATAGTCACACTACACTTTTGTAAACGGTTCACGTAATACTAATAATTTACCTCGCGGTCGGGTCAAATTTTGACGACGGGCAAAAATATGGCGGCATTCCTGAAAACACCAAAGAATTTTGGGGATGATTATGTAAATATCGTTGCCAAATTAGTATTATTTATTAATTATTCCAGTACGTATCTCGAGAACACGTTGGTAGTTGAAAAGCGAACGTTCACAATGTAAACAAGACGGTTGATGGCTTTGTACTCACCGTTATTCTTCCGCGATAAAATCAATAACGTTTATAGCTACGTTAAATAATAAAATCAGTTTTCAGATACAAATAACACAACAGAAAGATAATGACATACTTTATTATTTAACACAAATACGTTTTTCGATAATCTAAATTTGGCATGAGCCGTTTACAAAGGTGTTACATTGGGTACCGCAATGTACTCTTGGGGGGATGACAAATATACCATTAGGACAATGAAGCCTCTTCTATTTTCTAGGAAACCGTAGAATGCTCACGTTAATTCAAGACTCGAAGATTTTGACATTTCTGTCGATCACTTTTGGCTTTCCTCAGTCGCCACCTCGGTTTCCGATTTAGTCATTGATCATCATTGACGAGGCGTAGAAGGAGGAAACGGCTGCATGGCGCTGTTCAATTTAATTTGTGGCTCTGCTGTATCTTATTCTATACTATTTACTTTTGTGTCTTTTGTACAATCTTTTGGTATAAACTTGTTTAACCAAACTACAATTTGAAGTTACAAGCTGAAAATATACATTTTTCATTTTTACTATTTTATGAAATTGGCTTCCAAAATTGAACTGAACTCCTCTGGTACTTCTGTGAATCCCACAAGAGATAATTGATTTGTTAATGATGAAAGAGAGACGCCAATCATGTCACCACTGATCGGCATCGATAAGAAAACGCGTGAGATATCGATCTCGTCGTCTCAATCGTTTGATCTCGGGGAAGGATATCGATTTTCTTATCATTACATACAGCAAACGTACAGAAACGTAATTGCGATTTACTGGATAGGTAAATATGAAGGTTATCTGTTATTAGATTTGTGTATATATTGTGTCATTGGTATGGTTATATGTACTTGATCTCATCTGTTTTAACAGATCGATGGGAAACGTCCTATTTTCTTCGATCTTCTATGATCAGATTTGTTTTTATTCACCGGATAAATTTCTGTCTTTCTTTTTTATATTACAATCATTAACATTAAACACAATCTCCTGCAATGTAACAACGTCAATAATGGCAACGTTGTAACATTAGACGTAGACGGACGATCGGGCGTCGCGATTTTGAAAACGTGACAGATAAAACAACGATATTCACAGATCAATAAAAATAACTGTCATGTGATATTTCCGTTAATTCATAGCTTGGTAACAGTTTGTTTGTTTGATTTAAACATTTGAAGTAAATTATATAGATTTAGTCACGTAAACCAGTATATGCCCTACTGTTGAGGCCACCGTGTCTAGGAGATATAAAACATTATCGCTCTGAATATTAACAATCAATATGTAAATATAAGGCACATGGGATCAGACAGAAATTGCTGTAAGTAATGACTTAATGTGATCGATAATTGCTATCATGTATATGTTAATATGTGTATACAGGACTGTAAAAACTGATCTAAACGTTCCTCATGCATGTTAAAATAAAAGGTCGATACTTAAAGCATTTGTGGTGTTGAAGTAAAATTGCATTGCTATATGGACGTTTGATAGATTTAAATGCAAAACGGAAGAATGACTCGTAAAGGTTTTTTCGTGGACTGGGCTATATAGTATAGTATATATGTCGACCATATTCTTTCTAAAGTATTCAAAGTCTTCAAAAGAGGGCAATCAAATTTCTTCCACGATGAGTTTATGAAAAAATCATTAATAAACGAAAATATCCAAAATTACAATATCGCGTGTTCCAGATTTTCGTGAAATTACACAGCGCAAAAATTTCCGGATATATAGTATATCCATGGACTCTCAGACGAGACGTAGGGATGGATAATCCTTAATTTTATTCTCGTCACCGTTGATTAATATACTTAACATTATTTGTGTTTCAGAACTTGTTCCAAATATCTTTTTGGTTCCATAGACATTTGAAATAAATAAGCTTATTTCACAACGTAACAGATATACATGATAACATAAATTACTAGCGACTTGTTGACAACCATTCCGTAAGCGCTATAAGCAGGTCACGATATTACAATTGGTCAAATCGACCATGGCACGCGATTTACCTCGTTTCCGTTATCCATTATTAGCCTGGTGTTTGCATTTCACTTGGTGTCTTTCATTTGCTATGGTCTTTTTAGGAACCCCTTCAACACACGCAGGCCCTAAATATATGTTCGTATTACTTCCGTGTGACAGTATCCGACTTTATAGTGTTATCAGACTGAAGTGTACTGCGAGGGCCCCCAGCAGAACACAATTTTTTTTCACATTATATATGACAACGAGCAAACCAGTCGTAACCCTATCACAATGCTGAAAGATAAGTAGGGAATACGGAAGTAATTACAATTTTAAGGCTCTAGAATGCTTCGGCGACATGACTAAAAGACTTCCTCTCAGGAGCGAACTCTCAACTAAAGGCCAATTGTGAGGCAGTGTCAAGGGAGCCTTCACAAAGATGGAACTGTCGTGTTATATATAGACTAATAAACAAACAGGTGTTTTAATGCCGAAAAGATATTTTCATGTACAACATTGAGTAAGTCAAAACGCAAGCATGCTAGTAAAAAAAATCAGGATTTTGCTGAACTTCTGAATAACTGGTGCCCTTTTTGACAGCTTTTCAGTTAATTTTCATATTCAGTTATTTTTGTTATTTTAGTGTTAATTGTACAAAAAATATCGATATATCATATGCAGCAGTAATAATTTACGATATTTGAAATGGTATGGCTGTGATCCTGTAAATACACACTCTAAGTTATCGGAAGCTGGAGAGTGAGAATTTTGAGACGGATTTATAGTTTTTTATTTATATTATTTCCACTTAAGAATTAATGAATTGGAATACAAAATTCACCATACTTCAAGATCAAATCTCAAACGAATGTCTGTACATTCTAAAGTTTTCAATTGTTTAGAAATAACAATAGGTAGATTAACCAAATCCGGAATGTTGACCTAGTTAAACATAGACGTATCCTTAAGGTAGTCTGTTAAAGAACAATAACGTTGTCGTTATGTACCATTGTATCGATTTTTTAGCATTTGTATTTGATGGTCGTGTGGACATTTTAACCACTTAACGACACCACGAGGAGATGTACCAGGTGACAACATATGGGTTATCTTTCCCAAGAGAACCAGAAACACTAATGGCATCCAATTACGAGAAAAAAATAAACGATCTTTTGATCATTACTTATTTTAGCCAAATGTGCAAATAGTCATTATCTTAATATTTCAAACTGACCGTACGTCTGTTTTACGTGCGTCGTCCAGTTTGGGGCAAAGCTCAAATTCCAGTCAGCCGTCAACTGCAAATTTCACATGATGAATATGAAATTCATTAATTTCTTAACCCAGATTTCGCTCGAGGTTTTTGTTTTGTTCTCATGACATGGAACATTGACTATACATTCCTCTGATGACAAAGAATGTTTCATGTTGCCGTGTTCGTCAGCGTCAATTGTCAAACCAGTTTATGATGATGACATCATATACATCCACGGAAATCAATAATATGTTGGTATGGTAAATAACAACCGGGTAGAATAATGGCAAACAAGCGATTAGTCGCCAAGGACATGTAAACAAATACACAACCGATCGATATAAAATTCGAATTACCGGTACGACAAAAAATAATTAAACGAAAACGTACAATGCATTTTACGCTGTCATATAAGATGAACGTGAATTCCGCGCTAACCTTATCTATTATTTAAAGCGAGAGGCAAAACAAAGGATGAGGACAAGCCTAAGCGATCTGTGATTATTTGTTTTTTAATATCATTTTCAACGGACATGGCTACACGAAATACATCACAGTGTCCCTGTCGTCTTTATGGCTGTCTGAGTGTTTTATTCCCGAATGGAGAAAGAAATTAAATATTTAAAAAAAATTCACTGTGTAAAATCATGATAATACCCATGTGGATTTACACCTCAGTGGATGTCAATGTCCCTGCAGAGCAGTAATATCGTTCAAATTAAGCACATGAATTTGAATGCGCATTGTAATAAGGTTATTGAACAGAGCCAAGGTACACAAAAACAACAGAGAAAAATACCGATTGTGTTCATGGAATCAAACACAAAATCAATGAAACTAAAGCAAAATAGTAACGAATGAAAGAATGACCTGGAGACTCCTAAAAATGTATGACAATAAGACCAGTTATTCAGGAAGAGTAAGCGTCTTCTGCTTCATCGATGACACCCGCCATGTTGGTCAATCCGAGTAAGTAATATCACGTTACCAAATAAGGTAAATAACAATGGAACCATTAGGTATACTACTCGCCATTTATCGCTCTGCCGTACAACACCGACAGATGTGTAGTAACTTAAGTACACGCGTAAGTAACTGATTATTATATTAATCTGATTGAGATAGGAGCCTATTCAAGCCTCTTCGCCCGGATTTCATCATATCAAGGTAGTTCAACACGTGGTATCGAATCATCAGTGTTATGGGGGTGCAGGGGAAACCCGTTTGCTTGGCTATGAGAGGCACGATAAAACCCATACATCACAGATTAGAAAACCACGCTGTCTTCACTTTACCGCCAATTTATTCTACGGAAAACAACAACACACATATAAACACGAAAACAAGGATCCGGAGGCCGGGTCAAATATCCGGAACTAGTCAATTATCTTACACTACCTGACCAGTTATATAGATGTATACAACATCAGCATGCAAGGCGCAACTTTCATAATGTCTTACATAATCAATATTTTCCTGATGGGTCTTAACAGTCATATTTTTATCAAGATTTTTTTTATTGATCGACATGGAAACGTCTTGGATGATGTTGAATTATCATGAAAAGAAAAACGAAGAAAAGCATTTTAAAAACTTACTAGTTTTTTTAAACAAAATCCATATAAACCTTCATTGTTGGTTGTTTATCTAATGGTCAGTATGACATTAGGAGAAAAATGTATTTGGTTATACATATATTTGTTTTGTATTTAAGACTTTTGTTTGGTTCTATGCGATTCCCCAACCTCGTGCGGATTGTAATAAAAAAAACCATGTCTAGATGATCCTGTCCAGCGCAAACCTACAACGCACGTAACTAGACTTCCAGAGGTGTCTCATAAATCAAACACTAATAAAACCGCGTGCAAGATTCTATTTATCACAATACCGATAAGAAAACGAACCACTTATTTTCATGACCTAATTAGTAATCTTGGCACTAACAGCTCTGTCTGATCATAGTGTCTGGTCATGTACAAAACCATTATAACGTAAACTACTAAGCATCTCTGTAACACCCTATAGTGTAACGTCCCTGTTCGTTCGATCAGGCACACAGTCAATCGCTTATCTTTTAAAAGGCGGTGTATTCGTTGTAAACGACAGTATCTTGACACAAATGAAGAGCAAAAAAAAAAAACATGTCATGGTTTATTGACATGTTGTTATTTTTGATCGTTTTCAGAAGAATCAATACATGCAATGAATAGAACAGAGGTAATATAGAAAGAGTCTCTCATCAATAATATAGACGCTGTTATTATCTATCTATGGTCCGTATCCAATCTAACATTCCGTCAGTGCGATTTATATTAACTATTTTTGTACCGCCTGCGATACAAAGTACATGTATCATTTAGTCGGGGACGGTGACGTCCGTGTTCGTCCGTGTTCGTCCGTGTCAAATTTCTATATGAAACAATCGTCGACAAATAGTCCAGGTATGAAATGACAAAATTGATTTTCGACTTGAATTAGAACATTTAAAGTCGCATCCGTGTGGTAACGTTGGAGAATATAGCAATCGGATTAAAATACAGATGACCATTATGCACTACGTTACTGAGAACTGACACGTATTGCCGAATCACAGACCATATATAGGTATAAGAGTGACAAGGAGTGTAACTTCCGAGAAAGAAAAACAGAACATATTTTTCTTATTTATTTGTATAAGGGAGGTTTGCTGTTTATATAGGCGAATTTGCATTTTTGAGGGGTGAAAATTAGAACGCACCACTCAAACGTAAATGTAATAAATTTATTCCAAGTGTCTTTTAAGATACTGAAAAAGTTTTTACGCCAGTGATCGACAACATAGAAGAAAACATGACAATTAATGAACAAACAGGAAGCGTACAGCTTACATCTTATTGTTCTACAACGTACAAGCTACGACAGCACGAGATGACACGTCATGTGGACAAGGTCGTGCATTTTGCGATTTCGGCTTAGTTATTCGGGTATTCATTAGAGATGAGGGCGTGTTTTTACCGAACAGAAAATGTCTGCCTGGCCATTTTCACCTATATATTCGTCAGCTCATAACTTGGTTTATACTTGGTCAATCTCGTTCATTAAACATTCATTGGAAAGATAAAACATTTCTCTTCAGGACTATGTATGTGTTATTAAGATCTGCAGTCTCTAGAATATCAGCAAAAACTAACTGAAAAAGTACGTAGTTTTCCATTCTCGGAAGTTACACCCCTTGTCAATATATACATATATATGGACCGTGGGTCGGGGATTCGTGCCAAAGCCCTGTGCACAACGTTATGAAGATCTGTTGGTGGTCACGTTCAGATGACCTCAATGCTTGCTTTACAACAGATTTTTTTCAGCCAATCAAAATTTGTTTCTCGCATGCCTTTTTGCCAGCGCGTTCAGCGTGTGATTGGTTAGCTGAAAGGTCATCTGTACATGACCCCTTACTGGCCACCATCAGAAATGTAGTTTTATTACTGCTTTCCAAAAACATTGAAGGTATCCATAGCCTGATACGATGTTCAGTTTGGTCACTGATTGCCTAATATGTCTTAGAATTTCCGTTTGGGAATTTAATTTTCATCATGGATCTCATGCTTTCGTAGATTTAATTTTGCCCGAGGTGTGAGGACGACTTGCAGAACTGGGGTTTAATTTTATTGCCTTTTTACGGAGACACAAAAAGCCTTCCCACCTTAACGAATTGGTAAAATGCATTATTTTACTTTAAATGTTCTTTGTTCTTTCTGGAAAATCTCGTTTTCGGCCGTCTTACTTGGTTAGTTCCCATTTTTCGTTTTTATTTGAGTCTACAGTCACGAGAGGAGGGTTGAAAGTTACGCCCCCTGACAAATCAAAAGTATTGAAATTGGTATTCATTTTGTCCTTTTTTTTTGTTAATTGCTGCAATTGCCTCGTGAACAGCCAGATTTATTTTGAGGCAAAGTCTCCTTGTGGTTACTCATTGAACAACATACGGAAGGCCCGTTGCATTCCGTTCAGAGCAATTAGGTATAGTGTCTTACCCAAGGACATAAAAATTTCATCACAGACCGGTCAGTTTCTAGATTTCTTGAGAAACACAAGAGACTACGTCGTCCACCGCGCTTTACATCGACTGATAAACACTTGTTATCCTATTGTCAATATAAGGTGGTATGATGAAGTGCTATAACATATGTACTGACATATTAACGAAACAGTTAAGCGGCAATATAGAACGGTCCTAGATTAGCTTTATCAGTAATGGGCCGCATCTTCGTTTGACTTGATTTGTTGCCAGGACGCCAAACCCTCAAAACAAACAAACCGACAGTTATCCTTTCAATGGTTATGAACTCAAATACTAAAGGAAATCAAACATCTAATTGAACAATGAGACACGTGTTTCATTAAAAGAAAATGAACATAAAACCTATGTTGATGTTGTATCTGTTTCCATGACGACACATTAAACAATGGCATCACGATTTCGCAGGAAAAATCTATACTATTAAATCTACTGGAAAACTAAAACGGAAATTGAAAGTGTAAACGGATTCGATTCGTCCAAGTCTAATTCATTATACAATCCGATATATTGATTGATTTCTCTTGTTGACGACCGTGCGTTTATAAGAATCAAAGAGGACGTTCACAAAACACATTGCAGTTATGTTATCAACAATCAACACACATGTTTATCTTCAGTGGTCAAGTTATGTGCGGAAGAGACCGGTTTCGGATTTTAAAGTATGGTTTTAGATAACAAACAATTGGATTTTTTTTCATTGTTGACTCGTAACCAAGGCTACGCCAGTGGCACAACATCTATAGCTAATAACACGGGTGAGCACGTGTGTGGAGGCATATACGCACAACAATGTTTCTCACGTGCGAGGTTATGGAGAATGCTCCGCTAGAAGCTGACGGACTGTTGAAATTTCATGACTATTTAAGCAGCCAACATTATGGACATGGTGAAATAATTATCTATGGTAAATTAACTTTATGTTGTAAAGATAATTGTCGTGAAGCGTGATAACTATCGTCGGCGTTAAATTGGCATGTATATGGCGTGTATGTGATATTCATCTACAGGGCTTAAGAACTATTATATTCATGTAAATGATAAACAAATATCTATGCTCAGACCACATACTGCAAAGACGTTTTTCGAGCTTAGAATTACTGACAGGCCTATTTAATTCTAATTGATAGTATATGCAATAATTAGAAGCTTAATATTGAAGTACATATACTGTGGAAAATCACAAACGTAAGACATATGTTTCATAGGCAGAAGTGAATGTGGAGGTCTTAAATATACCAGAAAGTCTTCACACGTACAAACAGCGATTCCAGGCTTCTGACTGTTAAAACACACCATAGGGAAAATCGGACGTTTCAAGGATTTGCATCTAAGAAAAAATTACTCTACACTGAGGATTTTTCAAACCACAATTTTTTGGTTTACTGCTATGTAAATTTACAGACAGAAGACATATACACTCTGAGGGAGGATTAATGACTTGCAGTGTCGGTTAACAGTTTGGCTATGGGGTTAAACCGAACATCTGTTGACTTCTACCACAGTCAATAACTGTACATTAGATTGGTGTAAATGTTTCCTAAAGTAACCTCCGAGTTTTTCTGACGTGTTTTTCTGCTGGTAAACCGGAAGTGGTGTATAGCATGTTTCTTGATATATGAAACACAGGGAATGACATTGCGTGTCTTTTGATTACACAGAGATGCAGAAAATATTGATGATTGATACGTGATGTCCTGAAGTAAAATTTTTTACACACACATCTACACGTACATTTTCCGTGATTCTACGATCAAACGAGACACGGAGCTATATTTGTATATTGGAATGTAATGATAATTACCTCCTGTGAAGAACTGAACAGTTGAGACGGACGGACAAAGGTTAGTTTGGAAAGATATTGTATAAACTTTGACATCATAAAGTTAAATTTCGATTCGGTAACAGAAGATGTATAACTCTTGGAAACGGGACTTGTCGGAGAAAGGAATCGAACTTATGTCCAGAATTCGTGAGGCGGTCCTGTCTAGGGGCTGCGGGGGTGTGAAACATCTGTCAGTAATCTTTAGACATATGGATATTGACTTTTCTCAAAAGTTGTCCATGGAAGAGTTCAAGATTGGAATACAGAGATTTGGACTCGAAGACCCACTCACCGATGAAGAAATACAACACTTATTCTGTTCATTTGATACAGATGATAACCTAATGGTTGATTTTAAGGAATTTCACAATAGGTTAAGGCCTCCCTTGTCCCAAACGAGGTATGACGTCATCATGGAGACTTTTCATACACTTGACGTCAACAACGATGGCCAGTTGCAGTGTGAAGATCTGAAAGGTAGGGTGTTTTATTTAAGAAGTGCATAGAGGTAAGGGAATTATATAAATGATTGAGGGGACGCTGTTTTATATATGATTGAGGGGACGCTATTTTATATATGATGGAGGGGACGCTATTTTATATATGATTGAGGGAACGCTATTTGATACGTATTTGGGGTATAGGACTGAGGTGACGGTAGCAGTGAGAGGTGGGGAAAATATACATGACACTGAGGCGAGGGGAAGGGATATAGGATTGTGTGATAGGTTATAAGATTGAAGGAAGTGGTTAGGGTATAAGTTTAAGGAAAGAAAGGTGAGCATGGCATTGATGGACATGGTAAAGAACATGAACGGAGAGAGGGGTTTATTGATTGAGGAGGAACGGGAGGAGGGGTGGAGGGTTGGGGGCGGGGGAGGGGTGGTGGTGGGGGGGATGGGGGTTTGAAATAGAAAGGATGAGAGAAGATCTCATATCAAATGTCGGAGTAGTAAACTTTTTAGTGGCGGTAGAAAACTGGGGTGAAAAAATGAGTTTCAATATTTCGAGGATGGGGACTTGGGGAGTTTTGAGGAGAAAATTTGAGTTTGGAAGGAGAAATTAAATATTAGAATACAAAGTAAATTGTGTAACTTAGAGCAAAACACATAGATCCTGGTAATGATATCTCTATATACAATCAGACCAAACAAACTACAATTCATGAAATATTCAAAGGATGTCGATACCATTTGTATGACCGTGAACACTTTGTTGTGCCGTAATTGTTAGCTCAGATAATTGGCGGTGAATCGATACCGCTTGCCCAACTGGACTTGTAAGAGAGCAAACATTTACCTCGTGCACAAATAACACCACAGTAATTTCAGGGTACGTAGACAGCAGATAACATTACAGGCATGATTGCCACTGATTATTGTCGTAGACAAATATTATGCCTCTTCTGATACGTGTAAATATTTTTCTGGTTGTTCTGAAGGCGGTTTTAACTCCTCACAGTTCCCAAAAAGGTACCGATTCGCAAATTATATACACATCCTTTGATCAGTTGTTAAAAACAATACTGTTTGTGTGCGACGGACCTCCCGTAGGTTGTTCAGTCAGGTAGACACCAGCCACTAAAAGGAGACCAAGCCACAAAATAATCCTGGATGTTTCACATGTTGTTGATTTTAAATGTTTTGTTTCATCTTTATTCAAATTTACACAACCATAGTAGGATGGTTCTGATGATAACCTACTTCTTTTCTAATGTTCAGTTTGAGTTCACAAAAGGCCATGCACGACCGGGCAAGTGTTGAACTTTTCAACTTTGGAAGCAAGCTGTCAATCAATGCTTAGTAAATGATAAGCACGCGGCTCACCACGAGAAAGGTCATACGTGGCCAATCAATTGGTTGTCTGGACTGAGAAACTAAAGCATTCACTAGATGCTTTTATATTTCTGGTCCTTTGATATGTAAATACATTTTTTCCATCACAAATTTACAGTTAAGTCACATCATTTGACATTGGTTCTGAAGGTGGAGGCTTACCACTATGTTCGGACTTCAATAGAAATCTAAAGCCATTTTACTTCGTGTTCTATTTGCGTTGCTTACAGTCTATGTTTTGACAAGCATAATTTATGACCGTTGGTGTTTATATGTGTACGCACGTGCATTCAGGGTTTAGATAGATTGCTTGTTTCGTATAAGTAGAGTATATCGTTGATATATATATACAGTGAAGAAGGGGAAGGGGTCAGGTTGGCTTTCCAAGCCTTTTATAGCACACACTTTGATGTATTTAAGTCTGTGTTACAAATACATAAGATATCTGACAATTTATCCTATTTATATATAACAGAGGTTTTTATCAACCCTAACGGAAAAATCTAAGATTTATCGATATGTGGTTATTCTGATCAGTATATTCAAACCAGTAATTATATTTTTTTAAAATATACAGCATTAAGACCATTGTTAGGCTTAAGACGTGAGATTTCCATATCTGTGATGTGTCGTCTTCATCATCGTCGTCGTCGTTGTGGATGACGTAATAAGTTCATATCACACACTACCTAGTTATGCCCATATATATGCATTTACCTGTAGAAACAGGAAGATGGTAGGGTAATCCCCGTCAAGAGAAAACCTGTACATTATGTAACTCCGGCATAAGATATAAGTTTCACTATTGATCGGTTTGTCATAATGAATCAGTAACATGCATGACGAGAAATACAAATAAAATCAAAATATAAATAGTCTTCACTTATCTAAGACAAATTAAAATGCACATTTTTTTGTTTTTTTTTTACATATGTTCAATGTAAAAGTCTTCACAAAAATTGTAAATTCATACAAAAACTTGATAAATTATTGAGTTAATTTCTGTACCAGTTTGTGTTCCTTATCTATGTAATTATGCAAAAGTTAATTATCAATATTTGCAAGAAATGTTGTAATTTTGAACTTATTCTCAAACGCCATGTATCATGTTAACTCTTTGTGTGTAACCTCTTGTTACACACGTGGGTGTGTCAGAGTGATGGAATAAGACCTTGAAACCTTGCAAACAAATTTGTTTACTTAACTCTACACCATCTATTTACATCTGTCCAAATATTGGAACACGATGTAGGTTTTGCCTTACAAATCATCATGTCCCTGTACTACTGTAGTTGGTGAAAACAACAGGTACAATTCTTTTTATGTCCCTGTCAGTCGCACTTCCTTGCTCTTTGATTATTTTCTCGAACAATTCACAAATTTAGGAAATCAAATTGTATTCTTGTAATCAAATAAAAGAAAACACATAGATTGAATTCGTCACATTATGTTCTCTGGTTGGTGATTGGAGTTCAGTTGTTATACTTGTGTGAAGTGGTGATACTCTGTCTAGACTTTTTGTTTCATTAACCATAACAATTTTACAGGACTTCATTTTGTTAATATAATTTAAAAATAACAATAATTCTAATTCAAAACTAGGACATGAAGGAAAAAAACATTTTTTTCTGATAGCTAATAGTAAAAACATGACATCATATAAAACAAAATATTTTTATTGCGACATCAATCAGACAAGACTACGATTAGGCTAAAAAATGTGTTTCTTAAAGCGTTTTTAAAGCATGGTTAGCACACAGTACCGTCCAGTTATTTCAGACTGTCTTACTGTAACACAACTTTTTAAGATAAGGATTGCCACAAGTCGTGTTATTTCATTATTGTGTACAGATCGATAGACCATAAAGTGAATCAAACAATTGAAGATCAATCAAGTGGATATACGTGATGTGCCTACATTTATTTCATACTATTTTTATAAAATCGATTTTGGTCTACATCGTGCTAATTGATTTAAGCAACGCTCAAAGATAATTTGTCTACCAATATTTAACATCGAACAGAATCTCGAAGAGTACAAAACAACCAACTTTATTCCACATTACGAGGATATAAAAAAATTACCTTTGTTAACAGGGCTGTAGCACTTACGTGCTATATTTTGCATACACATTTCTTGGTGTGTTACGAGGATGAAATTAAGTACACACACACGCGCGTGCATTACACAATGCAGGAGGTCGTATTTAATTGGCAATGACGCCACTACGACTAGCAATGTGTTTGATGTGTAAGGTTTTAAAGATAGAAATAGATATATGTATTATCAATTTCTTTCATATAGGAAGATTCACTTGATACTATTAAATTAATTGTAACGGAAACTTTATAATTACAATATGGCGAAATAACGATAGTATGAATAAGTAAGATATTCATATTATAAATAAGAACACGCTATCTGACAGCGAGACAATGTCAGAACCTTTCAATCTTTGGACAATCAGCCAGAAAAAAAGATGAATATGACGAATGGTAAACTTAAGCAAACTGTGTTGGAAAAAAAATGAGTGGGAGAGGGGGGATATGTTTTACATAGCGGTGACTCTAACACACACACTTGATTCGCCATGTTCAGCTTTTATTTTTTATACCTTGTTCTTACTTAAGAACGTCTCATTACTTGCTTCTTACTTTGATTCACCAAGGTGAACGTGTCGACGATGAATCAGGAAACGCTAACTCTTATGGAACACTTGGTTTAATTATCCATGAACTTTTTCAAGAGTCTCCGTGTAAATCTTTCTTTTCTTCATATTTTGCCTTGATTTTATTGAATTAGATTTTGATTTATGATTACGTTGACTTGTTGGTATTTTTTTTTTTTTTTGTCTTTTGATGACAGAATGGTTTGATAAACTAATGTATTTCTATAGTGTACAACTACATTTTTCATTATCACACAAATATTATATAACCTAAACCTTTGCTGATTGGTTGATTCTATTTGAATTGTATAAAGTGGTGGCTGCAATCAGCCATTCAGAGTGATGTCTCAATGGCTATCGTTTCATTTACGACCTCGACCAATTTCTACCAGAGTTGTCCTTCCTTGCAGTCACTGCAATGCACTCTGGTAAAGATTGGACCTCGATCAATGCCGCTAATGCTCAGAGACGCGTGGACGATGCTCAAAACAAGAATAATATATTTTTTTCCTCTGTAAATTAGAACGAAGGCGACACACACAATAGTTATTTAACAAACCGACGCTGTCTGTAGAAGAGTTTGTGTATGTGTCGTGCGTAGTAATTTAGTTTACACATACAATTATGGCAGCGACTGTCCATTTCGGCCGAGCCAGCAAGTGGCACCGAAAAATAAAGTCATGTAGAACTGGTTCTGCATACCAATTCTAGCGTACATCAAAATGAAATAATCGTGCGTGAATTTACATGGATTTATAATGAAAGGGAACTGGATATGTATTGATTTAAAAAGTGAGATCGTGTGTTTGTCTATATATTTTGCTTATCCTTGACTAAAACTGTCATACTGGATAAAAGACTACCGGATCAAAAAATGTTTTCGTTCGAAAGCTAGAATAACAAGCATTGTGTCGTGATTAAAATTGAATGGACAATCTAATTGTACCGTATGTGCAAACCAAATTACCCGCTATGCATGTCATGACGTGTTGTCCTCCTACGGTCTGAGAGCTCGCGTGCTGCCGCCGATCAGCTGGCGTTCTGACAACGGAATGATAGTTCTGATAGGCTCAGTATAAAAATGTCATCCTTTTGATATATGATACATGATTGTAGTTCTTTTTCCCAAAGCTTTGCAAATGAAAAATTGACATCAAAAATTTCATCCGAAAGGAACCCAGTGGCACATCCTCTGTACAGTACTGGATAAGTCTGGTAAAAAAACACTTTTCTGCAATGTGACGTAGGCCTAGATTGAACTTGTAGAAAGACAAACGTGGAGAGCTTGCCGTTGGCGAGCCACTTTTGTCTTACTGTCAACCCAAAACTTCAATAATTTGTTGTTTAATTTTTGTTTACCTGTCATTACATACCAATTATGCAAATTGGTATCACGCCAAAATAATTGCTCGACGTGGAAATATAGTTCCAAGCGGTATTCTGGCGAATTAAAGTACGTGCTAAAACACAGCTGTACTCTGTCACTGCTTCAGAGGCTGTAATGGCACTATGTCGTTTCAGTAAGATGAAATTTGTTTTATATCTGTTTCGGTTTAAACCGATATCATCTAATAACAATACGGTAAGCATTTCTTAAAATTTCATCACACAAAAAATAACATCTTGTTTATTTCATGTATTTTCAGTGAGATTTTCCGATAATGTGAAATGCCACCCCAAGTATGTGTCCGGTGAATGGTCGGAAGAGGAAACTTTACGCAGCTTCCTGGATACCATTGACGACCAAAATAACCCGGATGGAGTAGTAACACGTGAAGAGTTCCTAGATTACTACGCTGGAGTCAGCGCACTTTACGATGATGATGCATACTTTGACCTCACGATGAGAGCTTCTTACGGTCTTCCGAAAAAAGGATCAAATAACAACAAAAAATAGAAATTCACGCACGAGAGACTTGATACAGTACACCTAAAAATAGCATTCTTACGTACACAAGGATTCGGTGATGCGAAATCTTTGGCCATATATATGAAGCTTTTGTGTCGTTTTTATTTTACGTGACTGTCTTATTTAGACTTTGAATATTGAATACGTCTCTCGCTCGTGGAACTTAATTACGGACAGTCGAGAGGATGGTGAACATGATTGATGTCCTATGGGCCGGAACTCATTCATAATTCATAACGAGAGACTCAGGGGTGTTGTGTTTTCTGGATAGACGTGAGGCCGAAAAATATTATTATTCTTATTTTTTTTTTAATTTTATCTCTTTTTAGGTTATATATTTTATGCCTGATTAAGTGTTTTTAGGTTTCCGTTGAACAACACCAACCCTAACAATGAAAACAAGGGTGGAATAATTAGGTGTGTACTTGTCAAAATATAACAATGGTTTAGCTTTTTTAGAGGAACTGTTAGCGAGAACGAGAAAAGTATGTAAAAAAATAGAGATATGAAAATCTGACAGTGAATTAAACAGTGCCAAAAGGTTGTACGCTAATCTACGATAATCTGAAGTTTCGACAACACTATATATACATGTAGGAGCCATCTGTGCCATCGTATTATATCTAATTATATTCAAAAATATTAACGTTCGAATCGCTAAATCCATGGATAGGCCTAAGCCTTCCAAAGCAGATTAACTACCTTAGTTCCGTTAGTGTCCGCTTGGCTCCGCTCTGATTTTTTTTATCATAGACTTGATTGTATGTCTCGGTACAGTTTTCCTTGACTATATTTCGCTTGTTCCATTTTTCGAACAAGACAAGCAGGGATTAAGATAACTGCGACAAGCAATCCAGTTTACATTTATCTGCGCGACGTCTAGCGGAATACGATGTATGATATTTAAAAAAAAGACAGGTATCTGGCCTTGGTTACGCCACTCTCCACCAGGTCTGCAATCCGCAATATAGTTGCGCAATTACATAACATTCATTTATTTTCATTCTAAACACGTATCACAAATTACTACCATTTTCTTTTTTGTCATGGTAATGGATTTCGTAGCTTTAATTGATTATTCCCTGATTTGTTAATCCGGATTATTTGTGTGCGCAAGTACGAGATTTTAAAAAGTGAATCAAATTTTACTGCTTTCAACATGCACGATCTCATTTAAAGTATCACACTTTATCTTAACTTCTTCTGTCGAAAATAAAAAAATCAAACAACATGCCATCATATGAATATGTATTTTTTTTGTATAAAATGTCATTTAAGAAAAAAATACTTCTTTTATATACGTATATGTTTGTAATTTGTAACTTTGAATCATTGAATATGTTTACATCGACAGTTGATGTATTTTTGTCTGTGAATAAAATGTTTTAATCACCATATTGATATATTTGTAATCAGACGAATGGTTGTTTCCATCATATATACGAGATATTTTAAATACGGAAAAACATAACATGCAATGACAGAACTATATACTGATTTTGAATTTATATTTTTGCTGTGGAAACGGTTTTTAATAAATTTCAAATGATAGGATGAGGACGATACTACAATGCGAAATAAAAAAATATCAATAGTTAAAAAACGGTTTTAACGAAGCCAAGTATTCCGGAAAATTAAAACTTTTCGAAACCACAGATAGCATCGAGACATGAAAGACCCAGGAGGGTCCTTGGCTGGATGTCATCCCTTCTTTTCTCTACTTTCCCATCCATACTGAAAACGATCCATTTAGAAGTTGTTTGAGATAAATTTCTCAAAATCCAAGATAACTTCAAAAAAATTCAATATTGTCTATGTCTATCGGCAGGATTTTTTTTACAGGTTAGTCCAAATGGATTTGCACAAATATGAACCCATGACAGTTTGCAAATGAGATTTGAGAACGATTAACCCGGTTCTTTCAAAATACGATATAACTGACAGTCGGCCATTTCACGGTTCTCAAAATTAATTGACCTTACACATCTAACAACCAATATAAACTTAAAGAAGGATTCATCAAGTGCTTTCCAAGTTTAAGGACTGACAGGCGGATGGAAAGAATGATAGCTCAGATGGACCACAGACGATTGGCTCTTTGATGATGGAGAGTTAAAACTAAGATACCTACCTCGATACTTACGAAAGAGAGAGAGAGAGAGGGAGGGTTGGAGAGAGAGGGAGGGTTGGAGAGAGAGAGAGAGAGAGAGAGAGAGAGAGAGAGAGAGAGAGAGAGAGAGAGAGAGAGAGAGAGAGATGGGTTTGAATCTGTAAGTTGTATCAGTGTTTTCCATTCTCAGTCCTCCTCATTTTGTATGTCCTATATCTCTTTAATTTTCGCTATGTATTTCTGGACAATATAGTGTTCCTTTGTAGCATTTACAAGAGCATTTGGGTTTAAACTTTTTATGTAAACATCTATTTTTGTTTATATAATACGTAACCATAATCTGAAAAAAAAAACATACTAAGTTTTGTTGTATGCCTGATGCTCATTTTGTACTTAGAGTCCAAAAACGATTTTTTTCTTTATTAGAGGAAAATAGAATGACAAGTACGTCTAAAGGTATTTCTATACTTTGTAAAAACAGTTCTGTACTTCCTGACATTCCTACACGATGTGAACCATTGTTTCTTGTTCTGAGTGACAAATGGGACAAGTCGGGTTGATGGATAATCCTGTTTATTTTATACATGAACTATTCTGTTTTGAAACCATTGTAATTTATTATATTTTGTTACTATAAAACTTGAACCACTTCTTCCGATTTTCTCGTACCATTCGGAATAATATCCTTCATAAGACTGTATAAATCGTTCACCCTTTCATTTTTTTTAAAACAAAAATCAATGTTAACAGGTATTAGCAGATACTCTGTTGAACATTTTCCCAAATTGACCTTACTACTTTTTGATGGTAGACAACAGACCATGATATTTAATTGACTTGATATATTTGGACAAATAGAAAGTAAGAGTATCTATTTCTTTTATCAAATCATTTATTATATTCATCCTTTATTGTACATTGCCTTGTAAAATACCGTTTTCTCACCAAGTCACCAAGAGTTTTCAAAACAAACTTTTCCTGTATCTTTTAACCATATCCCGAAAATTAAATCTTGTCCAAACCAAGACATATTTCCAAAATTTGTTTTTACATTTATTTTGACTTACTTAACATAAGCATTTCCGTAATTGGAGGGCATATGAAAATCATTATATAATTTTAAAATGTTTTGCCATTTTATATTCATCCTTTTGAGACCCCCTACCTCCCTCCCCCATCACAATAGTTTTGAATTACAAATCTCCCTTCACTTTGTCAGTTTTACTGTTAAAAAAAACCCCAAAAAAATCATGTATAACTTATTCAGAAAGTGATCATCAGGATTAGGTAAATAAATGATCAAACTATGATAAAATTCAAGTTTTTATCAGATGAATTTTCCCTATGGAGTAAATTATCTCCTACTCCATGTTTTCTTAATAAGCGTCTTTACTTTTATTCATTTTCTTTATCGAAGTTATGTTTTGGAATCTGAAAAATATAAAATATAAACACTGAATTTCTTTATCCAAGAAGAATAAATAAATTCTTTCACCACTGTAGGTTTAGATCAGGTAAAAAGTATCTTCACTTTAAATTTTGCTTCCTATCCAGACCACCTGAGTTTTATCTATATTAAAATTAAAATTAAAAATTAAAAAAAAAATTAAAAATTTAAATTCTTGCAAAAGTATTCAATTCTTTCGAAGATCTTTCTGTACCATCTAACATTGGAGACGTGTTACCTACATACCGAGAAATAAGAATTGGACAATTATTCACACCCATATCCTTAACACTTTCATTATCATTAGCCTAATGCTTAATATTTTAACACAAAGAATAAGAATATGGGGCCATTGGATCACCTTGGCGACAGCCTCTTTTAGTACTTGGAAGAGATGATAGAATAACTCCTCGACTGATCGTCTAACCAGTGTTAGTGTGCAGTAGTTTTACCCGGGATGAATACTTGGCCAATCTCATTCATCAAACACTCATTGGACATTTTTTTCTAAATCCAATGTATGTATCAACAAGATCTACGGCCATTGGCATATCAAAAAGCATACCCCCTCCCCCCCCCCCAAAAAAAAAATAAAAATAAACAACAAAATAACTCAGTTTTCTCTTCCTGTCATTGACAATCAAATACACATATCATGGACCCTGAGTTGGGGTCAGAATTCCTCTTAATCTAAAAACACCAGGTTAGCGACACGTGTATAGGTCGATAGTAAATACATCGATGAAAAGATAAAGCATTCCCTACTTAATTACTCATGTGTCAAAGTGTTGTCAACTGAGTTTTTTTCAACCCCCCCCCCCCCCCCCCCCCCACCAACTTCACTTTCTAATTTTTGTTATGGCCGCCAGTACGGAATCCCTATAAATTCTCTCTCGCGACGTTGGTGGCATTGACACGACATTAAATGATAGTAATTGTTAGATACTAAAAATAATGATAACCATAACTGGCTTCGGACTCGTGTAATCTGTGTTCTTTCAAGTCCCTTTTGTCACTTCTGGTCTTCGCTGATTTGGTGTCCCCTCCAGAACACGTATACGACAATGTTAATATAATGAAAACGAAAAAGTGAAAAGACCTAGTGCTAGTAATTACCAGGTATACACGACAAATGGATTTCTTCTTATGAAGACAAGTCAGTCAAGAGAGGGGTACAGTTTATCCCCACGGTATTACAAATAGTCTGTCGGAAGGTCCTGAATTATCATGTCAATCGACATTTGTGGTGTTGGCTAGGAGTGCCACCACCTTTCTCCAGCGTAGGTTTGTACAGCAGAACGTCAATTACTTCTGTGGTGGAGGAATATAAGGTAGGAAATGCCAGACTTGACATGACGCTGAAATACTCGAAGGATGAGAAAGCCCGAAAGGCGGGCGTTCATGTAAAGACATGGAGGAAGAGGTCAACAA